GCCTGGCACGCTGTCCTTCCTAACCCCAGCACCTCTGTCGGACACGTTGTCCTTCCTAACCCACCTCCGCCTGACACGCTGTCCTTCCTAACCCCAGCAGCTCCGCCTGGCACGCTGTCCTTCCTAACCCACCTCCACCTGACACGCTGTCCTTCCTAACCCCAGCAGCACCGCCTGGCACGCTGTCCTTCCTAACCCACCTCTGCCTCCTAGACTAAAGCGTTCAGGGTGTATCCGTCACTGCAGCACCAGGCACCATCGGCTGGGTCCCAGTCTAGTTGTGCTGCATGGGCATTCCCCATGTTCTAGCCCTGTGCTCTCCGCTGCGCCTGCTTCCCCTGACCGGAACGGCCCCAGCGGCAGCGAGAAGGGGCCCCGGCCTCCCCCGCACTCACGTGGGTTGTTGTCCCGGTTCCGGACGATGTACTGAAACGCCAGCAGAGAGGCAACCGCCGCCACGACCATCCCTGCTACTGCAGCGCCTATCACGGCGGGGTAGGCGTTGAAAGGGGGGTCAGCTGGAAGAGAGAGAGCAGGCCGGCGTTCAGCACCACGCAGCCCGAGCTGGGGATCCCTGCACAAGGAGCCTGCTAGAGACAGGGACCTGCTCTCCAGGCAAGGGCCACATGCCCACACAGGAGTGCAGACCCCTTGGCCCCCCAGCTCTCACCCCTTGTGTATCTCAGAGCAGCTCACAAGGGTTTGTTAACACAGACACACAGGAGGCCCCCGGGCTCGGCCAGCAGCAGTGCCCAGAGCTCGCTGTGTGACACTGCCAAAGGGAGGCGATTACTGCCCCCGCTGGTCGCACTGCGTGCAGGAGATGCCATTACCCTCATTGGACAGGGGGGAGACTAGACACACAGCGGCAAAGGGAGCTGCCCAAGGCCATGTAGCGAGTCAGCTGCAGAGCAGGGACTAGAACCCAGGTGTCCTGGACCCCAGGCCTGTGCTGTAACCACTGGAGCATGTTCTAATGACCCCCCGGGAGTCAGGTCAGCCCCACTCCAAATTGGGGCATTGAAACCCAAATATCTCCTCCTGCTGGAGCTCTGATCCGTAAGGCCCCACCCCCGCCTCACTCGTGGCGTTTGCCTGGGGGCACTGCAAGCTGCTGCCCAGTTTCAGCGACAATTCACTTACCCCGGGTTTAAAACACCACCGAGAACAGCTCGGATCCGGGGCAGGCCCAGGGACAGAGCTGACGTGGCTAAGTGGCCACAAGCCCAGCCCAGCTGGCCACTCCTAGCCAGTGGATGAGCTCAGCCCTGGTTGGGAGGACGCTCCACTATGGAGCGGGGAGGAGAAGGGCTGCAGTGCAGAAGATGGGTCTCTCCATGGGCCAGAGTCCACCTGGCGTAAGGGCAGGCCAGTGGCAGATTCCCAGGGAGAACCAGGCCCACCATCTGTCGGTAGGATCAGGAGCCACATGCTGAGTAAGGGGCTGCCCTGGCTTGGGGCCCCAGCACAGCCATGGAAAGGCAGTGGGGGGGAAACGCGAGCACCGCAAAGGGAGCAGTCAGCCGAAAACACAGGGGTGCAGCCACTGGCCCTGCTGGCGCCTGCCACAGGAGGAAGATTTTGATTTTGGCTGCAGTTTGTAAGCGCTGCCGGCATGGACGGTGCGGGAACCCCCCTTTGGGGAGGCTAGGCCCCCCGGGACACACCCCTTCTGCTAGAAGCCCCGCTGCTACCCCACCCCGTCTGCCCCCCTCACCCGCCAGAGCCCCGAATCCCCCACCCTCCCTCCCCCGTGGCTGGAGGAGTCCCAGCCAAACTGCCCTGAGCCCCGGGTCACTCGCCCAAACTGAGCCCCCGCTGGCTTTGGGGGAGAGAGGGAGTGTGGGTGGGGCGTTGGGGGAAGTGTGGGCGGGGCCACGGCCTGGGTTAGGGGAGGCTTAACCTCCCCTGGCGTATGATACCCGCCACCCATGTCCTCTGGGCGGGGCCGATCTCTGTGCGTGGCTGGACCAGCGCTGAGCATTAAACAACCGCACCAGAAAACTTTCCACCACTTGTACAATCCCTTCTGAGCAGAGAGATCAGCCCCCATTTAACTGACCCACTGGATCAAATCCGGACACATACAGATGGGCAAGAAAATCCACCCATTTCTTCCTCGGTTTTTGTAGAGGGGTCACGACTAGCGCTGGGAAGGAAGGAGGGGCGCGTGGTTCAGGCGCAGTCCAGAGCCTCATGGGAACCTGAGTTCAGCTCTCAACTCAGATGCCCCCTGGGGCAAATTTCTTTTTCATTCTACGTCCTACCATCAACGCCATCTAAGCTGGTCAGGGCTTGTTTTAACAGCAGCCATGGTTGTGCAGAGATCCCCCAGGGATCTGAGAATGGGCTAGCCAGTGTTCACAGTGCTGAACTGGTCAGGACCCCTGGGCTTTATCCCCAGCTCTGCTACTGAATAGAGGTGTGAGCCGGGCTTCCAGTCCCTTTGACAGTCTGTGCCTCGGTTTCCCCATCTATACAATGACACTTACCTGCCTGGCAGGGGTGTTGTGTGGTTTAATGTTCAGAAAGTGTTTTGAGTCCCTCTCGTGAAAGGCAGCAGAGAAGGCCCAAACACCCTGGTTTTGACATGTCCATGGATCATTGCCTCCAGCGACATCGGTGAAGATCGGTGCTCAACTAGTGTCCACTAGCGGCACCCCTTGGGGAGCTGTTCAGAGAAACGCCCTTGAAGCAGGTTTTAAAATGCGTCTCTCTCTGTCTGAAAAGGGCATCACGGGGCTCCATGGCTATTCCCTAAAGGTGCTCAGTGCCCAGGGGAAAAGGGGGTTTGCTGACATCCCCGCTGACTCAGCCTGGGATCTGAGGGTCACACTGAGTTCGCCCCTTCTCATGCGTCAGCCTCTGTATTGGAGGTTCTGCAGGCCACATTCTGCCCTCAGCAAGGCCCAGGCACCCTGACTGGCTGCACAACTCAACCAACCGGGACATAACGAAGGGTCCTATTCATGCTGCCCAGGACGGACCAAACCTCAGCTGCCTCTGCCGGTGTTGGGCTGGTTCTGCATGGCAGGGCGTTCAGGCCAAGCCAGCTCAGCAGAGCTGTGCTCAAAGAGACAGGGACTGTCTTTTTGCTCTATGGTTTGTACAGCACCTAGCACAATGGGGCGCGGTCCATGCCTGGGGCTCCTAGGTGCTATGGCACTATAAATAATCAGCTGCTTGGGTCTTGTTTTGGTCCCTAAAGTCAGTGGATCCAACTCTTGTGCACACCGGGGGCAGACCTGGTTGAAAAGTTTTTGCTGAGACTTTTTAAGTGACGAGAAATGTTTTCTCAGTGAAGATGGAAATCGTTTGGTGAAAATCCCCGTTTTCATCAGAAATCATAGGGCTTTAACTGAAAATGTCAATGCCAAAACGGAGACGTTTTTGGTAATTTGATGACCCCCCCCCCCCCCCCCCCAAAAAACAACCAAATGTTAAGGAAAAGTTCAATAAAAACAAACACTTTGTTTTTGTTGAAAATTTTTGCAGGGGAAAACGAATCTTTTCCCAGCCAGCAAAGAGAAGGGACCATTTTAGTCATTTTTCAGGAGAGAATCGCACTTCAAAGAGAAGTCATTTTCCAGGAATTTCGAGGGTATTTTAAGCCAGTCGTATAAATAATGAAGCCAAATTGGAGTAGCTTCCAAATACCCAGAGCTTCCTCTGTGCAGATGTGACTCAGAGCATCCTCCCATTGTATCCCCTATCGGAACGAATGCAGCGTGGATTCTGTTGTGTCACAGAGACAGCACGGGTGAGTGAAACCAACCCGAACCGCAGCCAGGGCTAACAGTGACAAGTAAACAAGTGAGCAGAATGACTTCTTGGAGCTGTGCAGTGACATCTGGAGCAAGAGGGTGGGGTGTGCTTCCCCGGGAAGGATAATCCTCTGCAGGAAACCATGCAATTAGGATAATGAGATGATGGGGAACAGAAGTGACAATCACACTGAAGTTATCAGAGACGGGGTCCCCTCCAGACCACACTGCACAGCACCGCCAGGAATCGACACCCACTCCTGGCGACTCATGCATCAGGGTCAGCTGGGGGGATACAGCAGGCTGGGCCATGCAGGAGGCAAACGGAGAGGCAGGGACAGCAAAAGGAGGCACAGAGGGACCCCGGAAGGGGCATGGGAAGAAGAAGGAGCAGCGGGGGTTCGTTCTGGTCATGCTGACACCATTTCAGACCTAGCACCCTCTTGCCCTGGGCCTCATGTCATCCTAGAAAGGAGTTAGGCAGACAGCTACTGAGTTTCACAGCTGAACCATGCAGAGATTTCCCCACACCAGCACTCCAGCAGGTCATCAGCACTTGGTCAAGGAAATTCCCCCGCTAGCAGAATTGCATCATCAGGCCTAACTCTCACTGGCTGATCACACGCGCAGGGCGGATCCCGTTGCTAGAGCATGGTAACTTTTTCCTGGAGGTCACTGTCAGGCCCCGGAGAGCCCTTTCTAACTAAGCCCATCCAAGCTGCAGGGCAGTTCGGTGGCTCCCAGCAGCTGTTACTCGTGCCCTGCAGAGCAGAGCCGTGCTCAAGAGAAACCCCCTCAGTCTCGATCCAGGACCAGCCAGGGACGTTCACGCTTCCAATCCCTCTTAATGCTGTCCTGAGACGACGGGGTGTCCGGGAGGGACGGGCACTGGATTGCAGCAAAATGTGGCAGCTAACACCAAGGGGGGGGGATGGGCTGATAATGTCCCACTGGTCCCACCTGCCACCCCAGGGAAATCTTTTGCTGGCACAGAAGTGCCCCATGCGCCAAATGGCCCCAACAGACCCAGGGGGTGTTCCTTGGGCCTCTGCTCATGAGCCAGCCAGATGACGGCAGTTATCAGAGTCCCTCTCTGGTGGCTGGACTTGGGGTATCTGCACCCCGTACGTTTCCAAGGGGGCCCAGTGGATAAGTCCTGTGGACCTAATAGGGAGGAAATCTCTATTTTCCCATAGCAATTCCCCTACAGAATGCAAGAGAAGGCGAAGCCTAGACAGTGATAGTCTTCCTGAAACCCCATAGGGGGGCTCAATAAGCCAATAGACAGGGTGGCGTTTCCCATTAAATTCCACACGACTTTTCCGTAAGTGGAGACCTGAACCAGGCCCCTCTCGCTCCGTAGGCAGCAATTCCAGCAGGAACCAGGAGAGCTCATTTTGGCTGGAAGCTGCTCAGCCGGCGAGGTGGGTGTTCTCCTCTATCCCCCATAGGGGGCCATGGGGGATTCAGACCTGGCTGGTGATCAGTCTATGCCTGTTTGAAACTGCCGAGGCCAGAGCTCCCCACTAACGCACAGGAAGTGAGGGTGGGAAAGGACCACGGCCCAGTGCGAGCACCCTGCCTGCAGTATCAGGAAATGGGCCATGGGGGTATACCCGGCTGACTCCCTGCTCCACAGGAAGCACCAGGGGTGAGATCCACAAAGCTATTTAGGCTCCTAACTTCCACTGACGATTTAGGAGCCTAAATACCTTTGCTGATCTGGGCCAAGATGCCCAAGCTCCCAGGCAGCCTGCCCTGAAAGGGGAATGTTTTCCTTACCTTCTCTTCAACACCGCAAATGAGCACAAATCCCCACGGTTAAGCATCTAATCCGCTCTATAATCCAAGATCCCTTTGGTACCCAAGGAACGGTCCATAGGTTGCCCTTGACTCTGGCATTGTGCCTCCTGCCTGCCTCTCTCAGGGCAGAGAATTCCTGTTCTGTAAGTTCGGGCGAGCCAGGCCTGGCCACTGCACCTCACCAGCGTCTCACCAACGGCTCTAACAGTGCTGCAGAATTTAACCTTCAATTTGGGGACAAATCTGGTTCTGGCTCCCCCTGTCTGCAAAGAAAACTTCAAAGTGTGAACGTGCTGTGGCATGGTCTGAATGAGTCTGCAGACAGAGAGAACCCTCGGGTCCCACTCTGATCTCACACACTCCAGGAATATTTCTGATCAACCGTGAGTGAGAACAGAATCAGGCCCAGTAGCTGTAAAGGAGGTGGGACCTGCTCCTATTGCCTCAGGGTGTTAACTCTGAAACCTAATGCTTACAGGCCACTGCTCATCAGTTTATGACAACGCACTCAGCTGCTCAGATTCTGGGATTGTGCTGCTGGGTGGAATTTGAGTACAATGCCGCACTTCTCCCCAAGCTCATAGCTGACCCCGGTCACGAATAAACAGACAAAGTGACTGCCAATGCTCCTCAATCCTGAACTACAGCACCCACAGCTCTTCCACTCCTGGAATCCTCCGCACTGCACTGCCAATACCGCGCACTCCCAACTCACAACACCCTGGTCCCAGCCATCTTCCACTGAACCAGCAGGGCCCAGTGATCAGGTTCTGTGAGCAGTTTTGTTCAGCTCCACTACAACACTTGAAACATTCCCTGCATGATGTGGCAATGCTAGTTGGTCTTCCAGCACACCATCACCTGCACCCTGATACAGTGACACCATCCCCTGCATCCCAATACAACGCTATCCCCTACACCCCAGTACAATGACACCATTCCCTACATCATAATACATCATCCCCTACACCCCAATACAACACCCAATGCAATCACACCATCCCCTACACCCCGATACAACACTGTCCCCTACACCCCAGTGCAATCACAACATCCCCACACCCCAACACAATGACACCATCCCCTACACCCTGATACAATGACACCATCCACTACACCCCAATGGAATCTCACCAATCTATACCCCTACAATCCAACTGTGCTAAAGACTTACTCACCTCTGGCCCAGTCTCGCTTGTGGGGATCTGTCCAGCCTTGCCAGCTCCACACAGCCCTGTCCTACTTGCTGTGATTCACACCCAGGGAGGGACGTGGCCCTGGGAGCCGGCTGCTTTCCAGGCCCTTCATCCCAATGTGACAAGAATCCTAAAGGGGCTGGGTGAATAAATGGGGCTTGGAAGCTAATCCTGCCCGGTCCTACCTGTCTAGCTGGAACAGGACAGAGATACACCCGCCATTCTCTACAGCCCCACCTCACTCACACCCCAACAGACCACACACACCCCCGGCCCCACACAGGCCCAGCCCTGGGAGATGGGGTGGGGTTCTGGACATGTGGGCGGTGGACAGCCGCTGCAGTAGGGGATCCCCCACTCCAGCCCCCAGAGTGGAGTCTGGGGCCTAGTCACTTCACCTGGGGTCTTCCCCTCGGACGGGTGCCCGGTGGTGCGGTGGTTGACAGCCAGGATGCGGAAGGCGTACACCACCGCCGGGTCCAGGCCGCCCACCCTGTGGTCCCGGATGTCAGGTTCTATGTCACTGGCCACCGTCTCCCAGGCCCGGGCTGCCGACCGGGACGGGCCCAGCGAGGATTTCTTTGCTTCTTGCCTTTGGACGACGAAGCCAGTCAGGTTCCCCGAACCCTGCGTCACCCACTCCAGCTGCACCTCAGTGCGCTGCCGGGTGTACATCAGCTTGCTGATCGTCACGTTGGGGGGCGTCGGGTACTCTGCAGGGGGTAGGGAGCGTGTCAGTGGTGCACCCAGAGACAACCTCACCCCCCCGACCCCATGCTGCTCACACACACACACACACACACACAGACAACCTCACACACACCCAAACCCATGCTGCTCACACACACACACATGCAACCAGAGACAACCTCACCCCCCCGACCCCATGCTGCTCACACTCACACGCACCCAGAGAGACAACCTCACACACACCCGACCCCATGCTGCTCACACACACACACACACCCAGAGAGACAACCTCACACACACCCGACCCCATGCTGCTCACA